AGTAAAAAATTATCTTGCTTCGAACATTTTCCATTTTCTTTTCATCATAAAACCATGATACACAAAACAACAACAACCTAAACCCCCAATATACAAATTACAACAATAACAACAAAAAGTAGGTTTCAAACGCATAGAACACTAACTACAACAGTTCAATATCAATAACAATCTGGTGGAAACATTCAATTTCAACATAAAAGAGGAGACGAGATACATAAAACACTAACCTCAAATATACAAAAAAATTGTAAAACTCAAATTTAATCGGAGAGAAATGTTCACCACCACAAATGAGACATAATGAAAGTATTTTCGTCACTCATTGTGGTCGAAATGTATCTTGAGAGGAGTTGACCATCGTTGTTGTTATCGTGGTCCTCAAAAATCCTAATTGTGCAAAACAAAGAAGTGACGTTGGGAATAATAAAACGTGAGTTTTACGTCAGACCTAGAAGGGACTGACGTAGAAAACGAATTTTATGTCGGCCCCTTCTAGGACCGACGTAAATTTCGCATCCACTATTTATAAAATTACCACCGTACAATGTGATTTTTACATCGGACCTAGAAACGACCGACGTAAAACTCGCTTTTTATATTGGGTCCAACGTAAAAGTCGAGTCCATTCTTTATAGAATTGTCACCGCATTGTTTTTAAGTAAGTTATTTTTAGACCTGAAGTTATGTGGGTGACATAAAAAGCCTATTAGTGTGTAGTCTTAATTTGATTGGTTATCATTCAACTCGGGTGAGAAATTACATTATCTTGGTCAAGTCTAAGTAAGCATGAATGTTGTCTGCGATAAAACTTAAAAGTTGGAATTTGAATTCAACCTTTATTGAAAATTAATCTAGAACCTAGTTTGAAGATGCAAAACTTTTAGTTGCACTAACGGCCAACAATGATCCTATTGTAAGAATATTGAAAAATCAAATTTCATTACATTTGAGGGACTATGAAATATTTGAAGACTTAAGAGTCAACTAGAATTATTATATAGCATAAGTTGAACTTGTTGAATCTAACAGGGCAATAATCATGGAGAAATGGTTGTAAGTTGTGAACACGAGATCAACTTTATTTCAAACTTGAAAATTGTTGCATACTCTTTTAAATAAGAAACCTACAGTATTATAATAAGTTTATAAGATGAAAGTTAACCCAAAAAAAAGGATGAAGCACAATTTCAGACTTATGACAAAAAGATTTTATTTTTTTCAAGAAACAATAATTAATTATGATAATATTAAAATGGTAAGGTCAAAATTTTCTTATTCAATAATCCATTAAAAGAAAATATATATATATATATATATTTTTCTTTTTTTCTGTCACAATAATTTAAAGTTAAAGGTAAAAGAAAGCAAGATATACAAATTAAAAATAAATAAATAACGGCCTCAAACACGCTCTAAGATGGTGAAATAAGATAATTGATAAATTTTTATCTCAAATTGATTTGATGAATACATCTTAGAACATTAAATTTATGTTTAATGTTGGAAAGATAATGTGAAATAAGAGAAACTAATTATATTCTTATATAGATGGCGTTCTCATTATGGGCTTAAAAAGTAATTATTAATTTTAAATATCAAATAAATAAATAAAATTAAGAATAAGTGAGTTTAAATTATTCCATATATATATATATATATATATATATATATATATATATATATATATATATAAACTACAATAGTTTATAAGTAAAAATCCACTCTATTATTTATAATTAAATTTTAAACTGATATTTTAATTTCAAAACAAAATTAACTATAAATAAAATAGTTATAAAAATATGAATTACTTAATCTTATCATTATATTAAAAGTGAGACTACTTAATTTGGTATAAAATAAGATATTATTATCACAGTTTGTATCCGTATTCCGATATTTTAAGAAAATTATAACTTCATCCTTAGCTGTAACGTATCTGTTTAGCCTTATTTGGCCGTTTTTTGTAATTTTTTGAGATAATAAATAAGCTTTTCATCGTGCTCAAGAGTTTTATCAACAATAAAAGCAAAACGTTAGAGTACACTAGGGATGGCAAAACGGGCTAGGCCCGGCGGGCTGGCCCGCCAACCCGCCATAATATGGCGGAGCGGGTTGGTATTTTCAGCCCACTCAGCCCGCTTTGGCCTGCTCCGCTAAGCCCGCCAATCCGTCGGACCAACCCGCGGGACAGTGCGGACCTGCCCGCGACCGCCTAATTAATAAAAAAATAATTTTTTATTGTAATAAAATTAATTATAAAGATAATATATAAATTTAAAAATTTTAAAAAGAGAATTAAAAAAGTTTCATTCTGACGTAAAATATTCTCCTTCCCGAAATATAACCTTCTCTCATGTTCTCCTTATTTATCCTAAACATTGATTATATTTATCCTTATTACTTGAATTAAAGATATAAGAATTACTCAACCAAGAATAATATGAAGTTTTATCAAATAAAAAAGATATAGGTATTTGAATTTTACAATATAAAAAATATAAATTTTATAAGTTTAACGTTATTTATATATATATATATATATATTTGTTATTATTTATTATTATGTAAATTTTATTATTGTTCTAAATTATAATTTTTTAAAATAATGTATTGATTTATATTATTAAATTGAAATAATATATATATATTGAATTATTGACAAACAAATAATAATCTTATTATTAAATTTATTAAAAAAGTTATTTAAAAAAATATTTTTTCTAAATTATGGCTGGCAGCTCACTAACCCGCCTCTAGCTGGTGGGCTAAGGTTTACAGCTGTCATGACTATATCGAGCTAGCCACTGCCTCGCTTTTGGCGAGCCAAAGGCTGAGCTAAAACGAGGCGACCGACCCGCTTTGCCATCCCTAGAGTACACTAATTTTTCAAAGTTCTTATGTGAATCAAATTTAGAACACATTAAAGATGTTTTGCGCTTTTTTTTAAATTAAAAAGTAAACACATATTATTTAATTATTACATATGATAAATTTATTTTTATAATAATTATTCAAAAATAATTTAATATTTTAATTGATTGAAAAAAACTAGACTAATGTACAATTGTTTGAATTCAAAAATATTCAGATATATATATTTTTTAAATTGAAAAACTATAATAATTTTTAAGAAGATTTGAATTTAATATATTATGTCCAAAATAGTTTTACATAAAATAATGGTAAAAAATTAGTAGATACAGTTTCAATAAGGTTAAATAAAAATATATAAGTGAAATATACTTATAAATTTAATGTCTTTAACGTTTTTAATTGAATATAAAATTGTATTTTTACTTGTGATGTTATTTGTGAATATCTTTTAATTATTAACGATCTAAAAAATATTTAATAATTATACTAAAATTCATTATTTATCTAACAATTGACTTAATATATTATGAAATAAATTATATATATTAAATTTTATGAATTTTTATATGGAAAATTTTATTAATAACATTACAATATAATAATAATAATAATTATTATTATTATTATAATTATTTTCTTTTACTTAAATGGTTGCAATGGGTGATTCTGCAAAAGCACTATGTTTTTACTTATTTTTTTGTTTTGTTGTGACTATATCAGAGCGGGAAAGGTAAACTGCTATTCTGCTTCACGAAAGATTGTGTTCACAATTTTAATTTAATGTATACAAATGCTTAATAGACTGTAAAAATATTTAAAATGGCATGTTTTAAATACACTTCTTAAGTGAGGTTAGCGAAACCTTTGATTATTATAATTTTTAAATATTTGTTTATTCTAATACTAATTATAGTATATTTTGTTTTTTCTATTAAATATAATGGGTTGAAATTGTTAATAAAATTAATCAGTTTGAAATTAAAATAATTATTTTAAGACATTTGTGAAAGTGATCAATTTCATGCTTTAAAAAAAGGAAACTCCACTACTAGATCAAGATTTTGAAAAAAACTAAGCATGAACCAATTCAATAGATATTTGATTGTAACGTCACAAAAAAAAATGCATTCGTTCATTAAATTAAATAATTACTATATTTAAACGAAACAATGTAATAAAAACCGGATTTGTTAACATAAGGACAATTGATGATTTATTATATAAAACACTTCTTGTGATTAATTTAAATTCATTCAATAACTATAGTTGTTAACATAAAAAATATAAAATTAATTAAATTTATGGATGTTTTCTTTAATTATTTTTTTAACTTTATAAATATAGCATGTAAAATATAATTTTTTATTCATTAGTATTTAACTTACAAAGTTTTATCTATAATATGTAGGATTTTTTATCTTTTTTTAATTATTGGAGGAAAAAAATAAAAGTCTCATAATTTAAAAAAATTATTATAATTTATATATTTAAAAAATAATAAATATATAATAGAAAAAATATGATAGATAATTCGTTGAGAAACAAAAATATATCTAAAATTATTTTTAAAAAATAATTATACAGAAAATATAAATATACATATACTAAAATATATTTTAATAAAAAAATTAAATGTATATATAACTATTTTCATGGAATATAACTATGAAGTAGTTGTAATGAGTTATTAATGTCAAATTTTAAAGTTAGACTCAAATTATTTAAATAATTAAATTTAATAACAATTTGAGTTAGTTTAAGTTTGTTTAGTTAATTAGATGAATCTGAATGAATAATTAATAAATTGAAACGAATAGTTGATTAATAATTTGACTAGTTTACACCGAGATAAAACAAGAAGCAAAGAAAGAAGCTTATGTAGGAAGAAGCTCAGCAAGGAAGAAGCTCAGCAAAAGAAAAAACAAAAGCAAAAGCAAGTAAGAAGCGTTTGTATATAGGGATTAGGTAATAATATTTACTATTTTTTTAATTAATTTATTCTGTTTCTATTCCAACTCTGCAGCTGGAAGTAGCAAGTTAGTGCGCTTGCTTGCTAAAAGGTTTAGGGTAAAGACTTGGGAAAGAAAGAGGGTCAAACCCGATATCAACTGTGAGCACAAATGGTGAGAAAACATGGCTGGCAATTACCTGCTCACACTTTTCAGGTATACCTTTTCTCACCTTCTTCTTCTTCTTCTTCTTCTTCCAATTCGCACTTTTCTTTTTGTTAGGGTTTGCTGGAATCAGTAATTCGTGATTAACTCCATGCGGATTCTGATATCATCGTCTTTAATTGCTCAATTCTTGTAATCGCGTGCTTTGTATTTTTATTTTTTTTAAACTATCTACAGGATTGTGTTAAGCGTAGCTACTGGCTCAGAAAAGTCTAATTTATGGTTGTAGAGTAATGTGTGTTTGATTCTGTTGTGGATGTCCCCCTTTTGTACTAAGGGTTGAAAAACTGTTTTTAAAAACAATAGAAGAGCTAGTGAAATTTCTTTGTTTGAATAAATTTATTTCCGCCAGTTTTAGAAACTGCAGAGGAGAAAGTTTGTTGCTATTAAACCAATCCAGACTTTGTTTTGGAGTTAACATATAAAAGTTCTACATACCTATATGCACCCAAACTATACCCTTCCCCGGCCATTTTCTCATGTCTTTGTTAAATCTTTAATGGGTTATCAACCGAATGAAATATTGACTATGGAGCTTAACCTCTGATCTGTACCTACCATATACTGTTTTCCATTTCCAAAGTTATAAACCAGCAAGCAACAGCAGATGTATTCAGTTGTTTAGAAAGAGGATTTAGGAATTTAATTTAAAGCAATATAGACTAATGTATGGGTGATAACAATAAAAGTCTTATCCTCTAGGTGAGGTCGGTTACATGGATCGTGCAATGTCATTCAGCTCTATTAAAGACCAAAATTTCAGAGATATTATTTATCATGGGATCTGTCTCAACAACTTTTCTCAATATCCTTCTTGATCTTCCTCTCTTTTTTTCAGAAAACGAAGAATCATTGAATCTACTATTTTCACTGGTGCTTTTTCCAGTGGTATTTTTTGTGTATATGTGTATCCAAATCACCTTAAATGTATTTTGTCATATTTTCTTATATTGATGCTACACCAATATTGTATATAACCTTTTTGTATCCTACCCTTTTTTTTTCTGGAAAATGTATGCATTAACACTCTCATTTATACTGTTCCCTCTCTATTTTTCATGTTGTTCTTTTAAAATCCAATGTTCTCTAAACTCTCCCACAGTGTACAGTTAGACACATGACAATAAAATAAAATTCGCCTCTGAGCTTGGTAGGTACTTTGCAATCAAAATAGCCATTGGTGGTTTTTCTCCCTTGTAACAATCTCACATGTATCCAGTGATATTATCATTAATTTGTACATCATTTTGTATTACTGATCTCATGTATTTAAACTTAAAAACCTACTATATAACATCTTCTCTCACCTTTACTTTCAAGTCACATTCCTCTCGTATCTTGCTAAAATGGCAACATTTGTATAGTTTATCTCACTTCTAATTAGTGTAAATCCTTTGTTTTCAAAGAATATCTCCAAAGGTCAATCAAAAGTCAAAACTATATCATTCACAGAAATCATGCAATTAGGGATACTCTTTGGTATGTCCTATGTAAGCACATCCCAGACTATATTAAATAAAAAAGGGCTTAAAGTTTTTACCTTGATGCAATCCTATTCCTATGCTTTCCTTGTTTTCTTGTCAGTGGTAGGCATGTCAACTTATTTTTCTAATTATTGGTTTTTTCATGAATAGGTTGTTGCGATCACTGTATTTTGCTTGTTGGTGATCGCTTTTTATGCTTTTCTTGCTCCCTTCATTGGAGGTCATATATGGGAATACATTTTCATTGGTGTTTACTCTCCCGTGGTATGTAAAACGCCTTTTATCATTCCACCACTTTTATGTATTTTATTACTTACCCACAAGAAACATAGCTTATGTTGTTGTCTCATTCTTGTGGTATTGCAGGCATTTGTTGTGTTCATTCTTTACGTCAGATGCACTGCAATTAACCCTGCAGATCCAGGCATTATGTCTAAGTTTGACCCTAGAGTGGGAAATAAGTTCAATCCTGCTCAGGATTTATCAGGGAAACATGACATTTCTGAACATGAACGCATTGCTGCCAGAGAGCAATATTCTCCATCATCTTCCAAAAGATCTATGACAAATATGAGCAAGAAAAGCTCAGTGGAAGATATGGACAGAGTAGACAATTCAAGGAAACAGAATAACCAAAGTTCATGTACTGCAATTGGAGGAATTTTCTGCATACTATGTTCACATGAAGATTGCCAGAAACAGGAAGCAACAGCTGATGATCAGGGTGGTGGTGAAGATGCTCTGTTCTGCACTTTATGCAATGCTGAGGTACTGCATTGTGTTTTGTGACTCTTTCAAGCATTTCAATATATATATATTTCAAATTTTGTTCTTTCTATTCCTATTCTGTTTGGCTGTGAGTGATATCAGTTATATTTTTATTTTATACCTGGGTTGATATTAATTGCATATACCGATGACACTAGTGCAATAACATGATGCATGCATTGAGAATAATTTTCAACTTAGATTTGATTTTCTTTGAGAAATGCCATGATTGGTATAAGTTGTGGGAAAATGTATTTGTGTTCATATCTTTCTTTGAGAACGAAGCTAGGTTTTGTGGAATTGTTTTGCTTCTTTTGGTAGAGTTATGACTTATATGAATTCATTTATTTTGTTTTTTCTTTCATTTTTTTTCCTATTTAAGATCATTAAATTCTTATGGTTTTTCTCTCTTTTCAATAATCTTTCTCTTTAAAATAATTTGGTCAAAACTTTTTTATTTATTTGTGATCCTAATTTAACTTCAACTTCCAGTTTTCTGGAAACATCAGTGGCAGAGATACCAGAGAATTATGAGCTCCTTTGCTTTCCTTCCCTGTTTATCTATTTTGAAATTCTTTCCAGTTTCCTGGAACCTTGAGTGATAGAGATGCCAGTGAATTATAGGCCTTTTTCTGTTCAGTCTTTCTCTATCATTATTTGGAAATTTCTGCCTCCTGAATTTTGGGACATAAAGTTGGTTACTGTAATGTGATCAACATCTCTGGTTGCATGCAGCATTTAATAGAGACATTTTAGAGAAGTAGCTTTAAATCTTGGACTTCCGCCTTGCCCTCGCACTAAGTATGTGTATTTCGCGCCTTGTGTGTCCTGTGTTGCAGGTGCGCAAGTTCAGCAAACATTGTAGAAGTTGTGATAAATGTGTTGACGGCTTCGATCACCATTGTCGGGTATGATTTGGTGTGCCAAGTGAAGCATACATCTCGGATTTTTATTCATTTTTGGTATAACATTTTCATAATTTTTGTTTAACTTTAATTTTCACTTGGTGCATCGCATTGCTGCAGTGGCTTAACAATTGTGTGGGTCACAAGAATTACAGTTCTTTTATTGCTCTCATGGCTTTTAGTCTTGCTTGGGTAAGTATATTGGTCCTCGTGAATGACTTATCATTTAAAAACTATAATTTGTTTTGGTTTCTAATAATAATGCCTTCTGTATGTTATTCTTTTGCATTTCAGCTAGTTATTGAAGCTGGAGTGGGTGTTGCAGTTTTTGTCCGTTTCTTTGTTAATAGGAGAGGAATGGAATCTGAAATCATTGATAGACTTGGAAATGGATTTTCTCGTCCCCCATTTGCTGCTGTTGTGGTATCGCTTTTGTTTGTTTTATATTAAATATGGCATATGACAAATGATTTTTACTAATTATATTTAGAAATTCCTTATATTTCTTGTTTCAATGTGTAGGTCGTATGTACTGTAGTTTCTATCTTGGCTTGTGTGCCTTTGGGTGAGCTTTTCTTTTTCCACATGATACTAATCAGGAAGGTCAGTGATTCAGTAGCTGAGAATCTGAGGTTGTTTTTCTGTTCTTTTTTCTTCCCCACCCCCATCCTTTTGTACATGGTTCTATGCTGCTCAGCTAATCTAATTATATCACGGGAACTAGATGTAATGAATCTTAAGATATACACGGTTGAGTTTCAGAAAGTTCATCTATAATTACTAGAGCATTTTTATGAACTGGAAAATGATTTATCAATATTAGTTACTTAAGCATTTTTGTGAATTATGTCTGAGATGTTTTGATTCCACCCTGAGATTTACAGAGCAGTATAAAATCATGTTTTAGTTCTTGACCATTATTTTAGCTTTTACAATATAAGAGTAGTACTCTTATCTTACCTCCTTTCTTGTTGTTGGATCAGGGTATCACTACCTATGAATATGTTGTAGCAATGAGAGCCATGAGTGAAGCACCTGCAGGGGCATCTGTAGATGAGGAATTGCCAAATATACTTTACTCTCCTACAGGCTCAGCCACAACTGGATTGAGTGGAGGAAGTTCTCTTGGTTTGCAATATAAAGGGGCTTGGTGTACCCCTCCTAGGGTATTTGTGGATTATCAGGTACTTGGGTTAACTTTTGCTTTCATCTGTACAGTTGTTGATTAAATTAAAAATATATTATGCTGCTATATTGAGTTTCCAAAGATGGTTGTTTGGCTTGTGGTTTGATGATTTTTAGTTAGGAAACTATAATGAAGGATTCTTGAGCAATAATCAGTGTCAGAAGTTGTTCTTATTTATTTTAAAATTCTCTATGAGGAGTTTTTAATTATGCCGTTGGGCACTTAGGTCCTAGAGAATATAACCTTTTTTTGTTTGTCATTTATAAATGCCCTCTAGGAAAATTAGTGTCTTATCATTCAAATGTCACATAGGTTAAAATTTAAAATTAGTAACAAGAATTTTCCTGAAGCAGTAGCTCTCTAATCAACCGAAACAGGTAAATTGATAAGAGAAACTTAAGGGTTTGAAAAATGTTTTCTATTTTTATTTTGTTTTCAAAAATAATTACAAAATTGACATCTTATTTTTATTTTATTTCCTGTTATCAAATATTTGTATAAGAAATAGTGAGAGCAGAACTTTTGTAATTATTTGTGAAAATAAGATTTGAAAATAGAAAAAAAAATACAAAATCAAATAGGCTCAAATATAACCTATGGAGCATTACAATCATGCCTCTGTATTTTGAATTAAAGCTGACATCATGATTTTCTTCATGCGTAGACTATTGCTTGTCAACTCATTTTTCTGAGGCAAAAAGCCTTCCAAAAATTGCGTATCATGAAAATTGTGTTACTTTAAAATAATTCAGCCTGGCAATCATATATTACTTGCCAACAGTTGCCATATTATGACTCGCTTACCTATGCAGAAGGTTTATAAATTTATTGGTGAAAGCCTCCATCACTCCAAAGTAATAGCTATTGTACGAAAGCAATTTCCTCTTTGGAGTCTTAAGTAGTTTAGGACCTTAGGTAAAAGAAATGAATGAAAGAGTGAATAGGCAGAACAAAAGGTTTTCTTTGGGGCTAGGGTGAACGAACTATGTATGTAATGGCTCTGGCTGCAGCCTTGACTGAATTTATATGGCGCTGTTGTGCTCATCCCTGTATTAGTGACTTACAAAGTAAATTCTTATCGGTTTGCCTAATTATTGAATTTTCATGCCTTTATTTACTTGTTACCTTTTTTTATTTCTGGAATCCTTCATATAGTTTATATATATATATATATATATGTGTGTGTGTGTGTGTGTGTGTGTAAATTACATGTTGTTAACACTTTTCTCATTGTTTTTCTTGACAAAATAAAAATGATTTTGTTCTTAAAAAGTATTTGACTTGGTTTATTGGGGCCTGGCTAAAATGGGCTTTAGGATGAAGTTGTGCCTCACTTGGAGCCTGGAATGCTACCGTCAACTGTTGATCCAGATGCAGCGGGGATTGCAGAAAGAGGGCAAAAGATACCAAAAAGACCCGTTCGAATTAGTGCTTGGAAGCTTGCTAAGTTGGATTCACAAGAGGCAGTGAGAGCAGCTGCAAAAGCCAGGGCATCTTCTTCAGTTTTGCGACCTGTAGACAACCACCGTCTACCAGATGCAGAATTGAGCTCTAGTGGCACCATGAGCATCAGAAGTAGTTTAAGCACTGAGACTGGAGCTAATAAGGAAATTAAACACGAGTTAAGATTTTCTCCAGTCAGAAATTCGATTGCTCCTAGTCAAGGAAGCCGTGACGAGTATGAGACCGGAACTCAAAGTATGAGTAGTTTCAGTAGTCCTAGCCATGTTCATGAGGCAGTTACACTCAGCCCTCTTCCACAGGGTCACAGTTTGAGTGGCTTAAGGTCAGGTTCCTCAATTCCTAGTTTGGTGCCTGAGCGGCCTTTAACTTCTAAAGCAACATTGTCAAACTTCAGGAACCCAATATCTAATCCATCTTTTGGATTTGATGGGAGGACAGCAATGCCAAAAGGAATTGGCAATGATCCCTTGTTGCTTTCAGCTTCTAACACTTCTATTCTAAGAGATGTGAAACGGACATCAGTTGTTTGGGATCAAGAAGCTGGCAGGTATGTCTCAGTTCCTTCATTGCCATCAGAAGCTCGTAATAGGTCATCCATGGCCATAAAATTGCCACATGTAAATGCTGAAACAAGCAGTATTGGGAAAAAACCAGTGATTCCTCAGCAGGAGTTGTCATTATCTGCACCCAAGTCTCCAGGGCAGCACATACAGAATCTGATGTATACAGGAGATTCTATCTTTTATGGCGGTCCATTTTTGAGTGCCCCAGTTAAAGATGGTTTGAGAAATGAAAGACATTTGGCATCAGGGGAGGCCCAAGATAGCATATCAGCGAACTTACCCCAAGAGCCAAGATATAAAAGGGACTCACTTTCAAATCAGCTTCCAGTGTTTGTCCCTGGTGGGTTTGAGAATACCCTTCAACCTCGTTCTGGCATGAATTAGCTTGAGTTGTTTGAGATTCCAATGATTTGGACAAAGTTTTTGTTGGAATCGAGAGGATAGTGAAGAGCAATTAAAAGCATCTATCTGGTAGGCACGATTTTAGCTTTTCAGACCATACAAATGAAAGTATGGTGGACAATTTCTGACTCCAACAGCTGGTTGTTTATTGGGCCTCATCATTTAGGTTTAAAGTCTGTTGTCTTGCAGCCTGTACGTTTGAGATACATCAAAATGCCTCTCTGGGCATATGAGAGAATGAAATGAACTCATTGTTCCTTTTGCTGAACATGCATTGAGAAATGTGAATCTTCCGTTATGCGGTTGATGAAATCTCAAAGCAGTTATCAGTTATCAATTATCACTTCAGTAAGCATGAGCCTCCTTAATGGATTTTATTTTATTATTGTAGCATTTGTTCCACTAGATACTAATATTGTCATTACCTTGCGTTTGCCGATAGAATAGTGTTTGGTTTCTATAAGGCTCTGTTCATTCTTCTCTTGCTATATAGATTTTTTTTCTGCCACGTGTCACTTGATTTAAGGTATCTTAGGCTCGTAGCTATCTTCAGAAGAGAATGGCCTAGTCTGGCTTCTGACAAATACTCCTAACCCAGTGGTTGGTTTGTTAGGAAGGTTTTGTCGTAGCCAAATTTTGCAATTCTTGTTGGAGCAGCATCACGACATTGTCGTTTTAGTGCCTGTTTGGGTCTTGGAGGTACTTTCAACGCTTATCTGACAAACAACTCTTTTGTTGCTTCTCATTGGACGTCGTGCTATCAATGTTTAAATGGTAAAAGCATGTATATATCCCCGGAAACATTGATTCATAGATAAAGGAAAGTACTCTGTTTATTTTAAAATGCTTTCTTTTTTATTTTGAAAAATATAAGTTTGTTATTTAATAGTTAATTATATTATTCTTTACACTGTTAGGTTTTTTGTTTTATTTTTAGAATATTAAAAGATGAAAAAAATTGCAAAAACAAATATTTTCCTAATTTTTATAATTATAATATTTTGAAAATTATAATAAGTCATTTATTTGTGTTCAACACATCCTCTTTTTATAGAATAAATATGAAGTTTTGTTTATTTCTCGAACATGAATTTATGATTACTATGTTGGATTATAATTGAACTTAGTTAATAACGTGTTTAATGTGTTCCCGAAGAACATTATTTTAAATAAAATGTTAACAGTAAAACTTAATATTAATATATCAATTTCATAGTGTTTTTATTGAATATTGAGGAGAGCATACAGATGTCATGAGATAAGTAATGTGATGATAATAATAGATAAAGAAAAAAAAAGTGATTTTTATATGTAAAGGTGTCGAAAGGCCTAGTTGGAAAAAAAAAAATCGTAAGCATGTGTAAAAGAGAAAAAACAAAATCAAATTTTATGTCGTGTTGCTCTTGGAAACAAATTCAATTTAGCCTTTGAATTTATAGCCTAACTAGGTTAACGAAATTTTTTTTTTAAATCACGGGTTAATTTGTGGTATGTTTGAACTTTTGTTTAAAACAAGTTGAATGTTAGTCCAAATATTAGTTTGAAGTGAGTCAACTTAACTCGTGTCAATAATATTTCTTTTTATAGTTATAGACAATTTTTAATATTTTTTTCTTATATTTGAGTGTTATTAGTTATACAAATTAGTATGTTCTTAGATTTTTATTTTTAAAATCAGGTGGGTCAGTTCATGAATTAGCATATCAATTCTAATAAGTTGAGTCGAGTCAACTAATTTTAACACTAATAAAACACTGAAATATTGTAATAATTTATTTTAAAACATTAAAATTAGTTAAAAACATAATATTTTCAACCAATATTTTCTATTAAAATTGAGAAATAGTCATATTAGACTTTAAGGGTTATAAAGGGAATTTTTAGGAAGAGTTTTTAAAAAAATATAAATATTTTATTATAGATTATAAGTACAAATTATTTATAATTTATTCAGAATTATTTATATAAGTATTTTTTTATAATTTTAAGTAACTTTTTTTAATTTTAATCAATTCTAATATGAAATTTATAATAAAATATTTATTTTTATTTCTACTAATATAAAATTTATAATAAAATATTTATTTTTATTCTTAAGTAACTTACCATACTCTCAGAAAAAATAATTACAAAGATATAAAGTTGTTGTAATTTCTCAAATCCTTCAACGTTTCCATCCACCATTCCTCTTACACGTTAGGGAGTTGTTTTGCCTGTTTGATCTTTTCTTTCTTTTCTTGGTGGTGGTGGTGGGGAAGTTGGGAGGGACCCTTTTTTATTTATTATTTTTTAAGCAACCTCTTATTATTTTACTCTATTAAAAGCATATAGTAGGTTACATTATATAATTAAGTATACTAATAATACAATAATGAATATTAATAAATTAAACCATATAGAAACTACCAAGTGTTCTTTAAACATATAAGTATTTTCCCTCTTGGCCATGTGTTTGATATCTTGTATCATTTTCATTCCTCCTACCTTCTTCAATGTTTATGTGATTTGGCACATGTACTACCATACCATCTCATTAATTGTGGACTTCAAAACTTCTTTTTGTCTCTTTGTATAAATCGACTAAAGAATGCGATATATTTACTATTCTCTTCTTGCTTTTTGCCATCTAGCAGCAAGAATTGCATTTGGATAAGTCCATCAATTTGAGCAATGGTCACCATCAATTATTTTTTCTATTTTCAAGTAACTTTTCTCTGTCTCTCTCCAACTATAGTTAAACTTTTGATTTATAGATTAAGATAAAATCTTCAAACTAACTTAAGTGTTAGTATACTAGCAAATAAAAGTGATTATATTTTTTTTCAATAAATGAAAGTAAGTTAAAATAAAATGTGGATGTTTCTATTTGAGAAAAATCCATCTCCATTTAATCTCATTTTCATTCATGTATTTTTTTCTTTTCTCACTCGCATAATTGTTGTTTCTTCTATGTTAAATATTACTTAAATTTTCATTAAAAATATGCATAATTTTGACGATAGTAAATCATGAATATTCTTAAATTCTAAAATTATTTTTTATATGAAAGATTAGTAGTGGGTAAACATAGTTTTTACATATAATATTCTTGAATTAAAAAATAAAACTCATTTTGTGAAGCGTCTAAAATTTAATTATTTTCTAATTGTTGACATACCAATTAGGAGATAGAATAAGTGATACTCACACTTAAAAGATTCAACAGATTAAAGACATCTTTAATAATAATAAAAAAAAAACGAGTTTTTTAGAATGTTAAAAAAATATTTTAATATACATTTATAAACATGAGTTATTAAAAGTTAGAGAAAAATATATTTTTTTTAATTTTAAATAACTCATGTATCTAATATCCATATTAAAAAAAATTATTTTTAAATAATTTTTATAAGAACTTTAGTTAGATATCTCAGTGACACATCGCTTATAAGAAATTAATAGAATATTTTGTTCAAATACTTAAAACTTATGAGAACCTCACATTTAAAAGAAATGTTTCATTGTATAGGTTTTTTTTTTAAAGGAGAAGAATCTCATAATGACACATACTTATTTTAATGATAACTTTTTTTAACATAAACATAAAAAAAATATAAATCATTTGAGATGCTTATAAAACATGCCTAAAAATAGTTCTTACAATTGAATAAAATTAATCTCAACTTTATTTTATTTTAAGAACTCCTATAATATATATATATATATATATATATATATATATATATATATATATATATATATATATATATAACACTTTCATTGATAAAGTAATTTTTATATGAAGTTTTCCTTTTAATAGGTCAGTAATAAAATTAGTAATGGAATATAACACAATTACCAATATGATGAGAGAATAAAACTGAAATGACTTCCCTAAATATTATTTTGTAGGATTTATCCGTTACTTTTATATATTATTAAACTAAAAGAAACAAATTTTATTTTGTAATGCTTCTTGATTTTCTTTTAATTATTATCCTGCTAACTAAAAGTGAGAATAAGTGACATATTGACACTTAATTTGTCTTATGAAAAATCATTTATAAAAAAAAATCAATACAACATTTTCTTAAAATAATTACAACTTTAAAGAAAAAAACTCAAAATATTGAAGTTGTAATTTATTATAAATAACTTGAACTAAACTTAAAAAAAGTATATATATAATCACCATAATGAGATCTTACATAGCTACTTACAACTTTATTTTATATAAAAGTTATATTAAAATTATATTTTTATTTATAAATAATACAACAATTATTAATATGATAAAGAAATAAAGCTCAAAAGATTTAAATTTAACAAAATATATTTTCATTTTTGAAACCAATACGAGGGTTTATTATCTTTTTTTACATGAAAAAAAGTCAGTATTTGAGTTTACACTATCAATGTACATATCTTATACTAACCATCACATTTAGAAAAAGAAAAAATTAAAAGGAATTAAGATAAAAAAAAATCACAAAAAGAAAAAGTGAAAGCAAGAGAATAATTGAAGAAACGAAAATGATAATTTTCTAAAACAGGGAAAGAGGCATGATGAGAGGTAAAGGAAGAATTTGACGAGATAGGAAGAAAGAAGGAAGCAAGGCAGGTCGCATGTTAGTATGTGAATTTTGGCAAATTGGGAATTCCGAAAAAGAATGAGAGGGTGGTAGGATTTTGCGAAGTGCCACCTAAGAATCCACAAGTAGGACCTTTTTTCATAAATAATACTCATTTTAAAAATATTTTCCAAAATAGCACATCTGGAACTTTATTTACACAACTAGCATTGTTTACTGTTCATGTATTAAAATATTATTATTTCGTGCAATGAACTCTCGCTCAAGCGAAGAAATCCCTCGCTTCAGCGAGGAAATATGTAACAAAGGGGTAATCTCGGGTCAATTCTAGCTCAAGCGAAGAACCCCTTCGCTTGAGTGAGAAAAATATGTAACAAAGGGTTATCTCCGGTTAACTTTCGCTCAAGCGAC